GCCACAATCGGGAAAGAAAACCACTTTGTAGATTGCTACAGCACTTCTCATCTATCTACCTAAGCATCTATCCACATCTCATCTGATTCTCCCAACAACCCTGTGAGTTAAACAAGAAAGGTATACCCATTTTACAGATAAGACAAGAGAGTCAAGCGGGTATAAATGAAGAAGCTAGTTCTAGAACCCAAGTCTCCTGCTCTCCATTTACAGTACTGCTTACACTATACCCCTGATGATGAGGTGGCAGATCCTAAAACCAGGCTCTAAAAACCATCTGGATCCATGCTCTACCCATGAAAATGGGTACTCTCTAGCAAGATAGTCTTTTCACACATGGCTCACTCTCCAATACACTCTAATGTATCAAAGGGGTAAAACTGTTGACCCCAAAATCTGGCAAGTGATCGTGATGAGATCTGGAGGAACCAGGGGATAAAAAAGTATAAAAACACTGGTTATTGCGGCTTCAAACCAAGAAAGGAAAGTAACATTTTGCTTATGCATTAAACATGTTGCTGTGGATACAAGCCGGAGACCCCTGTCCGGGTCCCTGTAGCTCTCTGGGCACTCATCTGTTCCACACTTCAACTAGCAACCCACCAAAGTCAAGTATTTCCTTTCAGAAGAACAACTCCAAAAATCATTAGAAACAAATTAACTTCACTTGACTTCCAGGGAGTATTCATCCATCTTTCCAGTACAGTTCAGCACGTGAAGTCAGACATCCAGCAAACGTCCTGACTGTGCTTTTCACATCTACCAAGACTCCATGACAGGGACAGAACCTAATGCTTCCACTCCCTAACCATGTGACCCTGAGCAAACTGCATGCTCTCTCTGGGTCTTGGTTTATCTATAATAAAGGGTTTTGGGGGGCCAGCCCAGTGGCAAAGTGGTTAAGTTCACATGCTCTGCTTTGGCAGCCCGGGGTTCATGGGTTTGGATCCTGGGTGCAGACCTACACACTGCTCATCAAGCCATGCTGTGGTGGCCTTCTGCATACAAAACAGAGTAAGACTGGCACAGATGTTAGCTCAGCAAGAATCTTCCTCAAGCAAAAAGAGGAAGATTGGCAACAGATGTTAGCTCAGGGCCAGTCTTCCTCACCAGAAAACAAAAAAAAGGTTTTGGGTTCCAATGGTTTCCATGCTCCCATATTCTGCGATTCTGCTTTACACAGGTTAACCACACTCTCAATCTCTGAGCCCACAAACACAATATTAGAAACAGCACTGACCAGTTCACAATTTTTAAAATTTATATTATTTTTAATGTTAGTAATACTTTTTAATAATATTGTTTTAACTATTTTTATACGATGATACATTTGTGGAAACTAGAAATCACAAAAAATTTACATAAATTAATACTAATGTCTTGCTTCAGGAAGATGATGTCTTGGTATAGTAGCTTAACAAATTAAATGGAGGGTAAAAAACTTACCACTTGAAAAAGTGGAAATAAAGGAGAAAGCACCATATCAGTAGCAGAAGAAAACATCATTTTGATATAACCTAGACAGTCACCAGCTCACTATGAAGTAACTAACAAGGATCTGTAATCAACAGTCATCGCATCCTTCTTTTAACACTATGTCCTGACAGCAGAAAATTTAAAAAATATCTACAAACAAACATGCTAAACATTCTTAAAAAAATAAATCTGTATTACCATCAGTCTTTGTTTTAGGCTTGAAACTTAATTTTGGGGGAAAAAATGGATAGCTAAGTTCTGTATAAAATAAGACTATCAACAGGAAGCTTTATATCAGAATTTTCAAGTCACCGTAGCATGAGTTCAAAACACTGTACATTTGTTTTTTTAAAAAACAGTATTGCTCCTAACTTCTATTTAGGAAATAGCAGTGTAATCTGAAGGATCCCAAACACCCCAAGAAGTGCTGAAATCCATACACAGGTGTGCTCACAAAAGCTAAAAGTTGTCTAAAATGGCCAAATACTTTTATTTCTGTGTATACCTCCCTAAGATGTACTACAAAGGAACTGAAAAACTGATTTTTCAGAATCAAAAGATGAACCTTCAGGCACTAAAGTGGCTTTCCGCCCTGCTATATTAATCCCTACCACTCACCACTCCTTCTTTTTCTCCTCAAAACAATTTCTGTCAAAAAAGATATAACTTCCCTATTGACTGGAAAGTTTTAAGTGGCCTCAGAATTTCACCTCAGGAGAGACAATAAAATTTTCCTCACCAATTTCTAAATTCCTAAAACATCTTAATAGCCCCAGTATGTTTTAATAAAAAAATATTAAAAATCTACTGATGCAAATTAAACGATATAAAATTCCTCTGTGGTCATTCATCATCCAACCATCCATATACTGGAAAGGATTAACTGGAAATGTCATGGACTGAAAAGGAAGACAGCCCCTTCCTTGCAGAATGTGCCCTCAATCTCGGTCACTATGTGCACATAACATGTAAGTTCCTGCCTGCAGCGGACACAGAGTAGGCCTATATGAAGAGGAAGGTTTTTCTAGATTCCTCCAAATTATGAGCAGCTAGCAAACACCACAATAGTAGATATTAGCCATAACTTCAACTTATCTGAATAGGGGAGGGCAACTTTGGATAAAGACCCTGTTCTTTTTTAAAAAAACAATACTTTTAACCTACTTTACTTCAGCCTGTCAGACCAATGAGAAAACCACAACAATACCATTAGTAGTTTCTTACCCCATCCTTCGGATAGGAACAAAATCTGCATAGAAATGCCACAGGGCTTTGAAAAATAGAAAGAAGTGAGTATGGTTTTCACTAACGGAAACAAGGTGATTCAGGCTGCACCCTGAAAAGAACTTGTATCGAAAAGAAACAAGAAACAACACTTCGTTAACTAGAGCATCAAGGGGCCTCCCAAACCTTATTCCAGAACACTGGAACTTATTCTGCGCTCAGCGTTAAGATCCAACGCTAAAATGAGCAGTCACAGCTAGGAAGAAATAGGACACAGGAGTTCTGGCTAAGGGTCATTTCAACATAGTGACGTTAGGCAAGTTTCTTCATGCCTAGGTTTCTCCTTGGTAAAAATAATCTTCAGCTTCCACGTTGGGTTCCCTAAACATATGGTGCGAATCTTTAGAGCGGAGGAAAAACCAGCCAGCAACTGACCCTATGAAGTTCTCTAGCAGGATAACTAGAGCAATGCCAAGCTTTCCTAAACGAGCATATTGTTACTTCTTTTTGTTTGTTTGTTTTTGTTTTTTTGGGTTTTTTTTGAGGAAGATTAGCCCTGAGCTAACTGCTGCCAATCCTCCTCTTTTTGCTGAGGAAGACTGGCCCTGAGCTAACATCCGTGCCCATCTTCCTCTACTTTATATGTGGGATGCCTACCACAGCATGGCTTTTGCCAAGCGGTGCCATGTCCACACCCAGGATCCAAACTGGCAAACCCCGGGCCGCCGAGAAGCAGAACACACGCACTTAACCGCTGCGCCACTGGGCTGGCCCCCGTTGCTTCTTATATGTACACCTGAATGCCGTTCCTTTCAAAAAAGACACCATGGGAATTTGCACTTATTCTAAAAATGCTGCCATGGCACAAAAGTTGAGACATTTTTCTGGAATTGCTTTAGAGTCAGCAGCTCATTCTTCTGAATGCACAGGAGTGGAATATGGCTATTCCTAATTTCAATTTATGCCTTGCTTATTGCCCAGAAAGATTTTAAGCAGCTTATGTTAAAAACATTTATGCTTATATATAAGGGAAAAAATTATATGGCTTCCCCAGGTGACTTCTCTGAAGGGAGCATTTCTTTAAATATTTATGCTTGTAAAGAAACAAAAACATGTGACTTTCTAAGTGCAGTTCAAATTTAGGGAAGAGTGTAGTCAGATTCCACATCTCCAGTATCAATTCCTCACTCCTCACCCCCAGTGTTTCTAACAGCACAAATAACTGCCAGTTTCTACTTCAACTCCGCTTCTTCACCACTAAGCGAGGATGGTACTGAGTAACAGAGCTGATCACTTTTCTGAGACGTGATTTTCAGACAGTGTATGCCACCTGATATTAAACAGGGACACAGCTGTCCTAATCCTACCCTTAAGACACAAAAACATCTTTTCAATCCCACATTCTTATCAGAGCCTCTGCAAAATGGCCACATCGGAAATCTTGTCTATGTAAAATTGCTTATATCAATTACTCTTTGGTTTTCTCAATATTTCACTAAATGATGCGGACACATTAAACGATTCTAAGAATCACTTTTTAGAACACCCTATAAAACAATATTAAAGCTACACAGTTATCTGAAGGAGAATTTAGCCAACTCTTCACGCTCATTAAGACCCAAGAGATGACAAAAGGTGTATCTTATCAAACTTAGGCTGCTAAACCAGACACTAAGACTGCTTTGCTCCAATTACCATTTCCGTGATTGTAAGTGTAGTCTTCCACGGCTGCCAATTTCACTTTTACTAGCTGATAAGCAACAATGAACCTTCCTGGCCCTACTGGCTGATGACATCCACCCACCCGAAACTTGGACCGCCAAACAAGAAACAAGTGATTATCGACCGAGGTGTTTCCCTCCACTCAGGCTTCAAACTCAACCTTGAAGCTGCTCCAATTTTTTCCAACTTTCTTTCTGGAATAACTTAGAGCAACAAGAATAACAAACGGAGTGCTCAAGGGGCTCCTGGACTGATGGGATCTTCATGAAAAGGCTTTCCTTTCTTCTGAATACCTATGTACTTTGGAACAAATGGAGCCCCTTTGGAATTTTCTCTTTGGGGAGTCCATAATTACATTTCAAAACAAGGATGGTCCTGAACTATCACGTCTAGATTTGAAACAGGTCTGCATGTTTTCTTGAAAGTTCACAGGAAAATGGAGCAAGGGAAGAAATAGAGGAGGACATCAGACAGGTAAAATTAGAGCCTGTACTGCTCATTCTAGAGTGCAGCTGGGGTAGTTTATATCCTTCCGACCTGTGGAAAAAAAATTTTAATGCACCTCATAAAACACTCACCTTGAGAATTTTTACAACCACTCTCTCATTGTTGGTGATGTTAATGGCCTCAAATACTTCACTATACTTCCCCCGACCAAGTTTTCGAACCAGTTGGTAATCATCTTGATTACTGTCAAAGGCAAGAACGACACATCAATGCCAGGACTTGGGATTAACCAAGCCTGTGCCCACTATACAACCCCATCCAGCCGCTTCCATTAATCAGGCACTTGGAAGTGTCTACACGTCACACAACTCATTCCCTAAATGAAAGCCACAACATAAACTTGGCTCCCTTCACTCTGCACACAGCTCCTAACTTAATTGGTCCCTCCTAACTTGGGGAGATGAGGTAGGAAGGCACCACTCGGAGCCAAGCTAGAGGGATGAGCAAAGCATCCATCCTGGAGGCTCAGAGGGTGCCCCTCTGCCCAGGGCTCCACAGCACGATCCTTCACACCCTCAAGGCAGACAGCGCCAGCTCTGAGAATCTGGACGGCTTTAGAAAATTTCCTCCCACCCAGCCTCATTTCAAAAAAACTAAAAAGGCCGAGAATTTTAATAGCTCAACAGGACAGCTGCTGACTTCCCACCCCAATAGAAACGCAAAAGTGTGAGGAGGAAGGGCTGCTCCCTCACTTCCACCAGGCTCTGATCCCCGGACCCTACCCTTCTCCCCGGTAAGAAAGCATTCCTGCGGGTAAGGGGGAGACGGGGTGCAAGGCGGGGAGAAAGGGACGAGAAGGGGGGGATGAGGACATGTGCGGGGGGTGGGGGGCCCTCTCTCGCACCCCAGACCCAAGGGAGCACAGGTCCCCGGGAGGGGCGGGCGGCGAGACCCACGGCCGGGGGGCGAGCGCGGCCTGCGCGGGGGGCGGGCGAGGGGCCGGGCGGGGGGCGGCGGCGGCTTTACCCCCAGCTCGGGACGTGAGCCTCATAGTCCCAGTACTCGCGGCTCCTCAGGCTGTTCACCTCGGCGTAGACCCGGGCCCTGCTGCCGGCGGCCGGGCCGGGCATGGCGGGCGGGACCGGGGGGCGCCGCGGGGCGCAGAGGGCGGCGGCGGTGGCGCGGCTGGGGGCGCGGGCGGCGGGCGGAGGAGGCGGCGGGCCGCGGGCCGCCGGAGGAGGAGGAGGAGCGCGGCGGCGGGCGGCCGCGCCAGGCCGGGCCCGCGGGGGGGGCGGGCTGGGCGCGGGGGCGCCGGCCGAGCCGGCCCGGCCCTGGAGCGGCCGGCGGGGCGGCGGGGCGGGCGGCGCTCGCGCTCCGCGGCGGCCTCCGCTCGGCTCGCGGCCCGAGGCGGCGGCGGCGGCGGCGGCACCAGCAGCGGCAGCCGCCGGCCGGGAAAGGGGCAGCGGCGGCAGCGGCGGCGAAGAAGGAGGAGGAGGAGGAGGAGGAAACCCGGAAAAGGGGCCGCGCTCACCAGGAGCGGCCGCCGCCCGCCCGGGGCCGCCCAGGCTCACAGCGCCCCCTGCAGCGCGGGGGGACCGACCGGGTGGCGCCGGCCCCGCCCACGGCCCCGCCCACGGCCGCCCGCCCCCGCGCCCCCAGCAAGTCTCCCCATCCTCAGTCCGGCCGACCGCGCTCCCCAAAGGGCCTACCCCCTTGCCCCCACAGACTGCTGCTCTACAGCTTTATCCCACGTGTATCCTTTCAGGACTGTCCTGCAGACCCCTGCCCCAAGCCCGCTACCCTGTAGTCATCCGGAATTCACGCACCCGACCTCCCATTCTGACCCTATTCTGACCCTCCTGTCACCCAAGCTATTCCCATCAAGCGCCTCTCCGATGACTCGCTCTTATCACGCCGAATCTCCGCACCTCAAGATTTCTCCATCCCTCCCAGAGACACCCCCTCTCCTCCAGTGGACCCTGTCCTCTCACCCAGAGACTCCTCAACCCCAAGACTTCCCCGCCCTCTGCATCCAGAGCCCTCTTCACAAACCCTTCCCCCTCCCCTCCCCCCGCCCCGCCCCCAGTCGGCCAGGTTGCTTACTGTAAAGTTCCTGTTTTTCCCTTTGTAATTAGTAAGCAATTTGTGGGGAGATACTTTGAGACCACGTAAACACCCTGGTTTTGTTTCGGAGGACGGAGAGCAGGAGGGTTATGAGAGTCCTGCCTGAAGGGACAGGCTGGGGTTGGGCATGAACTGAGGGTGGGGTGGCCAACCAAACTATTTTATATGTTGCCTTCTAGCCCTGACACTCTTCTCTCTTTGATCTTCTGGGCCTTTCTTTTGTCTTGCTTTCCCATCCCTTTCTCAACAGAACTTCCTCACACAGCCCAGGTTGCTCTGACTCCAATCCTTTCACACGTTCTGTTTTCTAGATGAGACCCTGCTTCCTCCTTCTTGATTTAGTTAAGAGCACAGACTGTGGAGTCAGATCCACCCAGGTTTGACTCCCAGCTCTGCTACTTACAAGCTGCGTGACCTTGGGCCAATAACTCAACCTCTGTGTGCTGCAGATTTTACAGCATAAAAATAGTAATGGGACACTCACAATAGCCGAGACATGGAAGCAACCCACGTGCCCATCAACGGATGAATGGATAAAGAAGATGTGGCATACACACACACACACACACACACACACACACACACAATGGAATACTACTCAGCCATAAAAAAGGACAAAATCATCCCATTTGCAATAACATGAATGAACCTTGAGGGTATTATGTTAAGTGAAATAAGCCAGACAGAGACAGACAAACACTGTATGACTTCACTCAAATGTGGAAGATAAACAAACACATGGATAAAGAGAACAAATTAGTGGTTACCAGAGGGAAGGGGGTTGGGGGGTGGAGGAAAGGGGTAAAAGGGAACATATGTTTGGGATGGGTAGAAACTGATATGTAAGAATGTACACCTGAAATTGCACAGTGTTGTAAACCATTATGGCCTCAATAAAACAATTCAAGAAAAAAATAGTAATGCACCTACTTCACAGGGCTATGGGGAAAATTAGACAAAGTAAACCCTGTGAAACCCTCAGAACAGTGTCTAACAGATCCTAAGTGCTCAATATTGTTGTTACCAGATCCAGGGCCTTTCTCCTATCACTTTTCCCTTCCTGAGACCGTGACACACCCATCTTTTGGTTCCTTCCATCCTCCAAGGTTAGCCAAGACCACCTCCACTCCCTCCACCCCCACTTTCCCATGCCTGACTCCTTTTTCCTGTTCAAGTCTTACCTTTAAGTTCACTTTAAACATTAGAGTTGATACTTCTCTATCTCCGCACCCTATTGCCATCCTTAAGAAAACTGCATGTTTTGTAATTATTTATTTGTTTCCTAGGTTATTGTCTGCCTCCTGCACTGTAAATACAGCATGAGAGCAAGGACAGAGTTGGGTGCTCACCACTGGCTCACGCAGCATTTGCCTCAGTTGGACGCTTTCAATGAATAAATGTTACCCCACAGATCACTTATTAAATCACAAAGGGGGGGCCTGGAGGTCCCTGCTTTAACCGTGAATCAAACTTAACGTCACCAATAAGGGGCCAGCAGACCCTCTGACATGAGGCACCAAGAAGGGACACGGCATCTGCCAAAAGTGCTTAACTGGAATCTAATCATGGAAAATACAATCCGACAATTCCAAACTGGGGAACATTCTGCAAAACAGCTAGCCTGCTCTCTTCAAAAATGTCCGTGTCACGAGAAAACAAAACAAAAGTCTGGAGTAGTGTTCTTGCTTAAAGGAGCCTGAGGGAGATGACTAAATGAGGAAGTGCCTAATTCTGGCTTCGATTCTGGATGAAAAAGGTAGGAAGGAGGGGTGGAAGGAGGCAGGGAAGGAGCAAGAATACAGCTAAAAGGATGCTATTGGGACTACTGGGGAAACTTGAATATAGGATGTACAACGTTACATGGTAGTATTGTATTAATGTTAAATTTTGTGAGTGTGAGGATTAAACTGGTTATGCAGGGGAATCTCTTGATCTTAAGAGTTACCTGCTAGGTGTTTAGAGATGAAGTATAATATCTGCAGCTTACTCTCAAATGGTCCTCCAGAAAAACATGGGTTCCTGAGAACACAGGCATCCATGGGGAAAGGGGAACAATTAGGGAGAAATGTCAACAATTGGAGAATGTGGCTGAAGACTACGCGAGCTGGCAACTGTTTGGTAGATTTGAACATTGTTTCAAAATAAAAACTGGAAGAAAATAAGTAAAGTGTTTATGGGATAAACAGACTTTGCAATTTAATTCCCCAACCCACAATCCTCCCTAAATCTATTTTAAGCGAGAAGGCACAAACATTCTCAAGCTCTTAATGCAGCCTTAGGATTTCTTTCTGACAAGTCTCTGTAAACTAGTCTAGACCAGAGTTCTTTTTTTTTGCAGGGAAAGATTTGCCCTGAGCTAACATCTGTTGCCAATCTTCCCCCTTTTTGTTTCCTCCCCAGAGGCCCAGTGCATGGTTGTATATCCTAGTTGTAAGTCCTTCTAGTTTTTCTATATGAGCCACTGCCACAGCATGGCTACTGACAAGTGGTGTAGTTCCCGGACCAGGAAGTAAACCTGGGCCGCTGAAGCAGTAACAGCACGGAACTTTAACTGCTAGGCCATCAGGTCTGGCTCTGGACCAGAAGTTCTTAATCCTGAGCCTTGGATGAGCTTCCTGGGTTTCAGGAACCCTTGACACTGAAAAATTTGTCGATCAGTGTGTGTGTGCATTCTTTCCTCAGCATCCATCAGATTCTCAAAGGAGGCCATGACCCAAAAATGGTTCCAAACCACTGGTCTACCTGCTAGGACCAACCCTGCCTCGGGCCCCATTCCTCGCCTCCACCCTGGTCCACCTCTGACCCCACCCCCCGTCCTTGCACCTTCCTCCCATCCCTCACTACCTAACCCACACCCATCTCCTGTAACCTGCTTCCACAACCTGCCAGGATGCCTGAGGATTCACCCACACATCACTCTGGTGCAACGTGCTCCTGGATTTGGCTGACACTTCAATAACTCAGCCCTGAAACCTGCAGTCAGTCCTCCCACGGCTAAATTGGGTATGTTTTTATGGTTTGTTAGGAGGTAGGTTGGGTACCCCATGGAACTGGAGAGACCCACCGCCTCTCCTTCCTGCCAGCCTGCCATGCAGCATGCTTGGTGTGAATCAAGATGGGCAATTGGAGGTAGTACCAATGCAACCCTTGCTGAAGGAGTAAGTCTCATTGGATATCGAGTGGGACGGGCTGGTGGCTCTGCAGGGGTGGGTGACAGGGCAGGGAGGTTCAGTGAACTAGAATCAACTTCTAATTACTCTGTGTGTGTTGGTCTGGGGGTGAGTATAATTCAGGGTTACACAAGGGAGAATGAAAGAGGGCATCTTGAGTCAAATAGCCCAAGAATTTCATACCAAATTCTATCCAAACATGTGCACACACACAAAACCCCCAAAACAACAATTTAAAACCTTCAGAGGGACACCTTCTATCTTCACAAGGCTTATTTCCAAAACATTTGTGAGTTTTACAGGTTTTTATCCTATATTGCTGGTTCTAAGAACCTAGCTTAAGAAAATACTGTAAATTACAATCAAAGAATTGTTAATAGTAATGACAATTTGTGTGGTCAATATCATTGAACCCTCAAAAACCCTGAGGCTAAAAACCATTGAATTTGCACTTTAAATGGTTAACTTGTATGCTATGTGAATTATGTCTCAAGAAAACTGTTTTAAAAAAATCCTATGAGATTGGAGCTGTTGTAAAGATCCCGTTTTTGCAGTTTAGTTAACTAAGACTCCAATGACATGGATAATTGAGGAAGAATCTAGATTTGAACTCAGGTCTTTCTGACCACCAAATTCATTTCCCTAATCCTTTTCTGATTCAATATATTCCCCAAGAGGGCCAAAGATACTCATTATGAAAATCATCATCTTTAATCATGAAAATGTAAAACAACCTAAATATCCCCAATTGAGGGACCAGTTAGATAAATTGTGGTATATCCATACAGGGAAATTTTAGGCATCATTAAAAATTATGATTATCAGGAATTTTTAGT